CTGGTTTTAAACAGCAGCCAATTGTCTAACATCTCTACCCTCCCGCTGTTTTGAGGGAATTCTATAATACTGTTTTCTAGTCATTATAGACATTATATTAGGAATGTTCTCTTGAAGAAGTGAGATTATTGTTACAAAACATGTCAAGACAAAGGAAGTACCCATTACTATGTTTTGTCAAATCCTTGTAAAAATGTAATTTATATATGTATTATTATGTGACTATCATATAGATTGTATAAAGATACAGTCAGGTCCATAAATATTGGGACATCGACACAATTCTAACATTTTTGGCTCTGTACACCACCACAATGGATTTGAAATGAAACGAACAAGATGTGCTTTAACTGCAGACTGTCAGCATTAATTTGAGGGTATTTACATCCAAATCAGGTGAACGGTGTAGGGAATTACAACAGTTTGCATATGTGCCTCCCACTTGGTAAGGGACCAAAAGTAATGGGACAGAATAATAATCATAAATCAAAATTTCACTTTTTAATACTTGGTTGCAAATCCTTTGCAGTCAATTACAGCCTGAAGTCTGGAACGCATAGACATCACCAGACGCTGGGTTTCATCCCTGGTGATGCTCTGCAGGCCTCTACTGCAACTGTCTTCAGTTCCTGCTTGTTCTTGTGGCATTTTCCCTTCAGTGTTGTCTTCAGCAAGTGAAATGCATGCTCAATCGGATTCAGGTCAGGTGATTGACTTGGCCATTGCATAACATTCCACTTCTTTCCCTTAAAAACCTCTTTGGTTGCTTTTGCAGTATGCTTTGGGTCATTGTCCATCTGCACTGTGAAGCGGTGTCCAATGAGTTCTGAAGCATTTGGCTGAATATGAGCAGATAATATTGTCCGAAACACTTCAGAATTCATCCTGCTGCTTTTGTCAGCAGTCACATCATCAATAAATACAAGAGAACCAGTTCTACTGGCAGCCATACATGCCCACGCCATGACACTACCACCACCATGCTTCACTGATGAGGTGGTATGCTTAGGATCATGAGCAGTTCCTTTCCTTCTCCATACTCTTCTCTTCCCATCACTCTGGTACAAGTTGATCTTGGTCTCATCTGTCCATAGGATGTTGTTCCAGAACTGTGAAGGGTTTTTTAGATGTCATTTGGCAAACTCTAATCTGGCCTTCCTGTTTTTGAGGCTCACCAATGGTTTACATCTTGTGGTGAACCCTCTGTATTCAGTCTGGTGAAGTCTTCTCTTGATTGTTGACTTTGACACACATACACCTACCTCCTGGAGAGTGTTCTTGATCTGGCCAACTGTTGTGAAGGGTGTTTTCTTCACCAGGGAAAGAATTCTGCGGTCATCCACCACAGTTGTTTTCTGTGGTCTTCCAGGTCTTTTGGTGTTGCTGAGCTCACCGGTGCGTTCCTTCTTTTTAGGAATGTTCCAAACAGTTGTTTTGGCCACACCTAATGTTTTTGCTATCTCTCTGATGGGTTTGTTTTTTTGTTTTTTCAGCCTAATGATGGCTTGCTTCACTGATAGTGATAGCTCCTTGGATCTCATCTTGAGAGTTTTCAGCAACAGATTCCAAATGCATATAGCACACTTGAAATGAACTCTGGACCTTTTATCTGCTCATTGTAATTGGGATAATGAGGGAATAACATACACCTGGCCATAGAACAGCTGAGAAGCCAATTGTCCCATTACTTTTGGTCCCTTACCAAGTGGGAGGCACATATGCAAACTGTTGTAATTCCTACACCGTTCACCTGATTTAGATGTAAATACCCTCAAATTAAAGCTGACAGTCTGCAGTTAAAGCACATCTTGTTTGTTTCATTTCAAATCCATTGTGGTGGTGTATAGAGACAAAAATGTTAGAATTGTGTCGATGTCCCAATATTTATGGACCTGACTGTATATGGCAGTGTTTACAAATCAGCTTGCCTTTTTATTATCATTAATATTATTATTATACAGGATTTATACAGCGCCAACAGTTTGCTCAGTGCTTTACAATATAAAGAGAGACAATACAGCAACAATACAGTTCAAAACAAGAGGGTTAGGAGGGCCTGATCCTTGGAGCTTACAATCTAAGATTTATAAATTGCTTTTTTTTGTGCAATAAGTCTTTTTATGCACATGTTGTACCTCATTCAGATTTCCATCAAATATGTTCTTGTTTTTTATCCATGCAAAATAGGGGATGGAGGTGCAACATTATTAAGTGCCAACTCACCATTTTATTATTTACGCAGTTGTCCACCATTGTTCCTGTGCTTGAGCGTCCAGCTCCCAATTCCAACATAATGACCTTCACACAGGCGTACAATCCACATGGCTTGATGCCACTTGCTCCAACTTCAGGGCACTCACCTTAAAGTGTAACTAAAGGCAATTTTTTAATGGTTTGGGATAGAGGGGAGAGGGATTAGAACACTCAATGGGTTTTTACTGCTACCCTCTCTATTTGTCCTGTTCACCTTTATCATTGAATGTGAAAGTAAAAGAAAATCCAAACTTTTGGGGTATACCCAGAAAAATAATAGAAGGGATGTCTTCGAATGGGGACACTGGGAGGTCCCAAGGAATTCCCTTAATTTGCAGGGATTTCCCCTCACTTCTTTTTTTGGCTATGGGACAGGAAGCGACGGTAATATCACCCAAGCCATCCTCTTCACTCCTCACACGACCTCCTGCTCTCTAACTCCCTTGTCTCCTCCTCCCATGCTCATCTCCAAGACTTCTCCAGAGACTCCCTGTCAGGGCTCCCGGGTATGACCAGAGGTGTGTGACTGACGCAGGGAAACGCAAACTTCAGATATGTTATAAACGATGTAATTTATTAACACTAACAATACAAACATAAACGCAGTGCAATACTAAAACATAACACAGTGCAAACAAAGCAAACCAACCACCACAGATAACAGTACATACAATGCAAGCGTCGTCAGGCAGGCCGGGTCAATATCAATCGGGCAGGTAGGTACAGGGGGAGCAAGCGGAGAATGGTCAGGGTCACAAGCCAGGTTCAGCAGGTAGCGGGCAGCGTGGTACAGAGGGTCAGGCAGAGGAGAATGGTCAGACAAGCCAGGGATCAGGAGCAGGAGAATGGTCAGACAAGCCAGGGATCAGAGCAGGGTCAGCAGAGAATCAGACAGGAACAGGAACAGGAAACAGGGCCCAGGAGAAACACAACACACAAGGCAGAGTCTGCAGGTCTGAATGTCCCTTAAATACACCAGTATAATTAGTTCCAGGTGTTTGACTGGCTGCAAGGTTGAGTCTCTGATTGCTGGGACCACCCGCTGGCCAGCCCTGGTACTGCAGCTCATAAGGCAGGCGAGTCCCACTATTGCTGGCCAGTCCATTCCTGACAGTACCCCCCCCCCCTCAAGGAGCGGCCTCAGGACGCTCCAAACAGTCCTAGCTGGGCAAAATGTTCCACCGCCGGGCAGAGGCACTCCGGGCAAAGGCACATCGGGCTGGACTCCGGGCAGAGGCACATCGGGCTGGACTCCGGGCAGAGGCACATCGGGCTGGACTCCGGGCAGAGGCACATCGGGCTGGACTCCGGGCAGAGGCACATCGGATTACCAGGCGAAGCAGCAGCAGGCAGCGGGCCACGGGGCGGAGCAGCAGGCACCGGGCCCCCAGGCAGAGCAGCAGGCACCGGGCCCCCAGGCAGAGCGGCAGGCACCGGGCCCCCAGGCGAGGCGACGGGCATTGGGCCCCCCGGCGGGGCGACAGGCATCGGGCCCCCAAGCGGAGCGGCGGGCGCGCGGGGCCCCCAGGAGGGGCGACAGGCATCGGGCCCCCAGGCGGGGCGACAGGCATCGGGCCCCCAAGCGGAGCGGCGGGCGCCGGGCCCCCAGGAGGGGCGACAGGCATCGGGCCCCCAGGCGGGGCGACAGGCATCGGGCCCCCAAGCGGGGCGACAGGCATCGGGCCCCCAAGCGGAGCGGCGGGCGCCGGGCCCCCAGGAGGGGCGACGGGCATCGGGCCCCCAAGCGGAGCGGCGGGGCACCGGGCCCCCAGAGGGGTGACAGGCATCGGGCCCCCAGGAGGGGCGACAGGCATCGGGCCCCCAGGCGGGGCGACAGGCATCGGGCCCCCAGGCGGGGCGACAGGCATTGGGCCCCCAAGCGGAGCGGCGGGCGCCGGGCCCCCAGGAGGGGTGACAGGCATCGGGCCCCCAGGAGGGGCGACGGGCATCGGGCCCCCAAGCGGAGCGGCGGGCACCGGGCCCCCAGGAGGGGTGACAGGCATCGGGCCCCCAGGAGGGGCGACAGGCATCGGGCCCCCAGGCGGGGCGACAGGCATCGGGCCCCCAAGCGGAGCGGCGGGCGCCGGGCCCCCAGGAGGGGCGACAGGCATCGGGCCCCCAGGCGGGGCGACAGGCATCGGGCCCCCAAGCGGAGCGGCGGGAGCCGGGCCCCCAGGAGGGGCGACAGGCATCGGGCCCCCAGGGCGGGGCGACAGGAATCGGGCCCCCAAGCGGGGCGACAGGCATCGGGCCCCCAAGCGGAGCGGCGGGCGCCGGGCCCCCAGGAGGGGCGACAGGCATCGGGCCCCCAAGCGGAGCGGCGGGCGCCGGGCCCCCAGGAGGGGCGACAGGCATCGGGCCCCCAGGCGGGGCGACAGGCATCGGGCCCCCAAGCGGAGCGGCGGGCGCCGGGCCCCCAGGAGGGGCGACAGGCATCGGGCCCCCAGGCGGGGCGACAGGCATCGGGCCCCCAGGCGGGGCGACAGGCATCGGGCCCCCAGGCGGGGCGACAGGCATCGGGCCCCCAAGCGGAGCGGCGGGCGCCGGGCCCCCAGGAGGGGTGACAGGCATCGGGCCCCCAGGAGGGGCGACGGGCATCGGGCCCCCAAGCGGAGCAGCGGGCACCGGGCCCCCAGGAGGGGTGACAGGCATCGGGCCCCCAGGCGGGGCGACAGGCATCGGGCCCCCAGGCGGGGCGACAGGCATCGGGCCCCCAAGCGGAGCGGCGGGCGCCGGGCCCCCAGGCGGGGGCGACAGGCATCGGGCCCCCAGGCGGGGCGACAGGCATCGGGCCCCAGGCGGGGCGACAGGCATCGGGCCCCCAGGCGGAGCGGCGGGCGCCGGACCCCCAGGCGGAGCGACAGGTCTCGGGCCCCCAGGCGGAGCGGCGGGCACCGAGTCACCAGGCACGACAGTGGGCTCCGAGTCAACTGGCAAGACTGCGGGCACCGAGTCGTCTGGCAAGACTGCGGGCACCGAGTCAACTGGCGGAACAGCGGGCCTCGAGTCAACTGGGGAACAGCGGGCTTCGAGTCGTCTGGCAAGACTGCGGGCACCGAGTCGTCTGGCAAGACTGCGGGCACCGAGTCGTCTGGCAAGACTGCGGGCACCGAGTCGTCTGGCAAGACTGCGGGCACCGAGTCAACTGGCGGAACAGCGGGCACCGAGTCGTCTGGCAAGACTGCGGGCACCGAGTCGTCTGGCAAGACTGCGGGCAGCGAGTCGTCTGGCGGAAACAGCGGGCATCGAGTCAACTGGTGGAACAGCGGGCACCGAGTCATCTGGCAAGACTGCGGGCACCGAGTCGTCTGGCAAGACTGCGGGCACCGAGTCGTCTGGCAAGACTGCGGGCACCGAGTCGTCTGGCAAGACTGCGGGCACCGAGTCGTCTGGCGGAACAGCGGGCATCGAGTCAACTGGCGGAACAGCGGGCACCGAGTCGTCTGGCAAGACTGCGGGCACCGAGTCGTCTGGCAAGACTACGGGCACCGAGTCGTCTGGCAAGACTGGGGGCACCAAGTCAACTGGCGGAACAGCGGGGCATCGAGTCACAACTGGCGGAACAGCGGGCTTCGAGTCGTCTGGCAAGACTGCGGGCACCGAGTCGTCTGGCAAGACTGCGGGCACCGAGTCGTCTGGCAAGACTGCGGGCACCGAGTCGTCTGGCAAGACTGCGGGCACCGAGTCAACTGGCGGAACAGCGGGCACCGAGTCGTCTGGCAAGACTGCGGGCACCGAGTCGCCTGGCAAGACTGCGGGCACCGAGTCGTCTGGCGGAACAGCGGGCATCGAGTCAACTGGTGGAACACAGCGGGCCGAGTCGTCTGGCAAGACTGCGGGCACCGAGTCGTCTGTCAAGACTGCGGGCACCGAGTCGTCTGGCAAGACTGCGGGCACCGAGTCGTCTGGCGGAACAGCGGGCATCGAGTCAACTGGCGGAACAGCGGGCACCGAGTCGTCTGGCAAGACTGCGGGCACCGAGTCGTCTGACAAGACTGCGGGCACCGAGTCGTCTGGCAAGACTGCGGGTACCGAGTCGTCTGGCGGAACAGCGGGCATCGAGTCAACTGGCGGAACAGCGGGCACCGAGTCGTCTGGCAAGACTGCGGGCACCGAATCACCAGGCACGACAGTGGACTCTGACTCAATTGGCACGACAGCGGGCACCGGGTCATCAGGTACCAGATTGTCGGGCATCGACAATTACGGGGCATCGGGTCAGGTATGACAGCGGGCACTGGGTCACTGGCAGCATAGGTCATTTGGCTTGCCAGCGGCACCGCGTCATCTGGCAAGGCAGTGGGCACCAGGTCACCAGGCATTGGATCGTCTGGTCGACAGCGGGCACCGAGTCGTCTGGCAAGACTGCGGGCACCGAGTCGTCTGGCAAGACTGCGGGCACCGAGTCGTCTGGCAAGACTGCGGGCACCGAGTCGTCTGGCAAGACTGCGGGCACCGAGTCGTCTGGTGGAACAGCAGGCATCGAGTCAACTGGCGGAACAGCGGGCACCGAGTCGTCTGGCAAGACTGCGGGCACCGAGTCGTCCTGGCAAGACTGCGGGCACCGAGTCAACTGGCAAGAACAGCGGGCAACCGAGTCGTCTGGCAAGACTGCGGGCACCGAAGTCGTCTGGCAAGACTGGGGGCACCGAGTCGTCTGGCAAGACTGGGGGCACCGAGTCGTCTGGCAAGGACTGCGGGCACCGAGTCCTGGAGTCGTCTGGCAAGACTGCGGGCACCGAGTCCGTCAGGCAAGACTGCGGGCACCGAGTCGTCTGGCAAGAACATGCGGGCACCGAGTCCGTCTGGCAGACTGCGGGCACCGAGTCGTCTGGCAGACTGCGGGCACCGAGTCGTCTTCTGGCTGAAGACTGCGGGCACCGAGTCGTCTGGCGGAACAGCGGGCACCGAGTCGTGGCCTGGCGGAAACTGCGGGCACCGATCAGGTACCGGATCATCTGGATCAACAGCGGGCATCGAGTCAACTGGCCTAATAGGATCGTCGGGCTGGATCAGTTCATCATGCTAAGTAGAGCGGCATCAGGCTGAATGCAGGCTCAGGCCGAGTAGAGGCTTCAGGCTGAGTAGAGGCTTCAGGCTGAAGAGGGCTTCAGGCTGAGAGAGGCATCAGGCTGAGTAGAGGCTTCAGGCTGAGTCACGGAAGGCAGGTTCACCGGTTTGGATACTGGCAGGATGGTATTGGTTGGAAAGAATTTTCGCTTTTTTCTGGTTTTAACTACTGGAGCACTGCAAGTAAACGCAGGTCTGCAAACGAATGGAGCAGCTGGAGACAGAGAAAAACTGGAGGATGGAACAGGAGAGGGGGCAGTTGCTACAGAGGGCTTTTTTACAGGGTTAAAGGCAGGATAGGTGCAGCGAGTGGGAACAGGGGTACTGACATGCGGTAGATAGATAGCCAAGTATACTGGGCTGTAACTGGAGGAGCTGGTGGGAATACAGGAGTAGAGTTAGAAGCAGGACTGGGTCTTTGTAAGCTGACTGAGGCTGGGTGCAACAAGTCTGTCCATGTCTGCAGTATGGGTTGAACAAAGCTGAGCTTACACAAAGCCTGTCTGGGTCAATGACTGCACTGCGTTTATACAATCTCTTAGTATCTGTGGTGAACATGTGGAATAACGCTCCAGAAAGTAACCCACATCATCCTCTAATAACCACACCAGGGACTCTACCTGGTCTGCACTAAATGGTGGCAAAAATTCATCCCTGCATTCGGGGGAACCAGATGAAACCAACTCAGCACAAAACCTCAATCAATGGCTGCACCTCAGAGAACTCTGTGCCCTGATCTACTAGAACATGAGCGAGCCGTATACATTCTAGTAGTTGATCCCCTGGGATACTCCTTCAGAGTTTGATAAGCATACTCCCTGTCATCAAACACTAGCAGATATAAATACACAACCTCATCCAGATCCATCCTTCCCAGCAACAAGCCAAGATGGCTTCCCTGTGCAGCCACTTCTGGTCAGGATTGGCCTTGGTGTAATGTCAGGGCTCCCAGGTGTGACCAGAGGTGTGTGACTGACACAGGGAAACGCAGACTTCAGATATGTGATAAACAATATTAGTTTATTAACCCTAACAATACAAACATAAACGCAGTGCAATACTAAACATAATACAGTGCAAACAAACCAAACCAACCACCCACAGATAACAGTACATACAAGCAAGCGTCGTCAGGCAGGCCGGGTCAATATCAATCAGGCAGGTAGGTACAGGGGGAGCAAGCGGAGATTGGTCGGGGTCACAGGCCAGGTTCAGCAGGTAGCTAGCAGCGTAGTACAGAGGGTCAGGCAGAGGGATGGTCAGGGTCACAAGCCAGGGATCAGAAACAGGTAGCAGGCAGCGTAGTACAGAGGGTCAGGCAGAGGGATGGTCAGACAAGCCAGGGATCAGAACAGGTAGCAGAGAATCAGACAGGAACAGAGAGCAGGAACAGGATACAGGGCCCAAGAGAAACACAACACCAAGGCAGAGTCTGCAAGTCTGGCCATCCCTTAAATACCCCAGCATAATCAGTTCCAGGTGTTAGCTGGCTGCAAAGTTGAGTCTCTGATTGCTGGGAGCATCCGCTGGCCAGCCTGGTACTGCAGATCAAAAGGCAGGTGAGTCCCACCATTGCTGGCTAGTCCATTCCTGACAGGATGTGTCTGTAGCAATGGTATGGGAGGCTCATAAGGCCTGTATTAGAGGAATCCTAATCTCAATTGGAGCAACGAAGAAGAGGGAAAGAGAAAAAATGAATGCGCTTCTCGGAGAACTCTGTGAGCTAGAACAGACACATAAAAATAGATTAACAAAAGAGATTATGCAGAGGGTAATAAATAAAAGAGAAGAATTAAATAATTTTATGTAAGAATATAAGAGAAGAGTATTTAATATAATGATAAGTGAGAGGTATAGATGGGGAGACAGGCCAGGAAAGTATTTAATGAGTGCTCAGATTAAAAAACATCCAGGAACTATATAGAGAAAATAAGAGACCCCAAAGGAGAATTAGGTATTCAACTAAAGATATTGCTAAAGTGTTTAAAGAATACTATAACAATCTATATAATATCACTCCCCATAGTTCTAAAAAAAAATGGATATGGAAATTATATAGTCAACCCTCTACAGCAATCATAGTTAACGGGGATTTATCAAGAGTATTTCGGGATGCTAAATGGAACAAGACAGGGATGCCCACTGTCTCCAATTCTATATGTTTTGTCATTAGAATCTCTATTGGCTACAATAAGGAATAATAAAGGGAATATGGATAGGAGACACAGAGCATAAGGTGGAAGCTTATGCAGATGATATGTTGTTTTATGTGGGTCGCCAAAGGATAACATTGCCAAACTTAATGAGATCACTGAAGGAGTATGGGGAGATGTCAAATTAATCCAACGAAAACAGAGATTTTCAATATAAACCTTCCAAATGGAGAGAAAAATAGGATACAAGAGGAATTTCCCTTTGTTGGAGAGAAAAAGAATTAAAATATCTAGGAATAAAATTAACTATATCTTCCAAGAACTTATATAAATTAAAGTATATCTCATTGTTAAATGAGATCAAGGATGAACTAAGGAAATTAGGAGGGGGAATACCGTCGTGGATATACTTTATATACTTTATCAAATTTATATAAATTTGATAAAAATGGTGATCGTTCCAAAAATTTTATTTAAATTTCAAATGATACCAATCAAACTACCAGAAGTATATTTTAGCACAATTAAAAAAAAATGTTAAGATTTATCTGGAGGAATAAAAAACCAGAATAAGCCATGAAATTTTATGCAGAAATAAAGAGGTGGATTGGGAGTACCAGATCTGAAAAGATATTATAACTCGGTAATAATGGCGAGAATTTTTGATTGGACATATAATGCAAAGGGGAAAAGCTGGGTTAAAATAGAAAATATACTAAGTAATACCAATTTAAGTAGAATTGTATGGTTACCTTCAAAATACCGAGGATTAGCAGGTAGCACAAGTTTGTTCACATTAAATGTCTTAAGAGTTTAGGATGTTTTACACAAACAGATGGGATGGGAATTTAATTCATTGTTAATGCCCTTAGGGTCTACAGAGTTTTTTCCTCCGGGTAAAGAAGGTATCACAGGGAAGTGGATTAAGAAGGAAGATGCACAATTAAGGGATATAATGGTGGGTGAGGAAATTGGTTCACTTATGGAATTGAAAAAAAAGAGAAGTTTCATGAGAATGGATGAGTGGCGTTACTTACAATTGAAACACTTTATAGGGAAGCTCCCAAAGCCTTTAAGAACAAGAAAGGTTTGGAACCCCTTTGAGCGTTTATTAGACACGCGGGGAGATGGGAAACAGGGAACTTCTAAAATATATAAGATTCTCACTGAAATAAACACAGATTTAAGGCCTCGTTATATAGAAAAATGGGAAAAGGATATAGGAGTAATAATGTGTAAAAACAGAGGAAAATGTATAGATTAATCCATGGAAATATAAATATGCAGGAGGTAGAAATGAACTATAAATGTTTGGCAAGATGGTATATCACACAGAGTGTGGCACATAGATTGAGTGGAGAGAATTCACCATTATGTTGGCGTGGATGTGGAGGTAGAGGCACAATGTATCACATATGGTGGGAGTGTCCTAAAATACAAGAGTATTGGGAGAAAATGGTAAGCTTGATTCAGAAAATTACAGAGGTTGATATTCTAATAGACCCAGAGACTTGCCTTTTTCACAGTACCAAGCTTTCAGTCAAAAAATACAAAAAATCTGGTTTATTGTAATATTTGAATGCAGCAAAGGGATTGACACCCCAAGTTCTGGAAGAGACAGGAGGCGTCAAAAATAAAAAGATTGGGTTGACAGGGTGGATCAAATATGTAAATTGGAGGAACTTTACCATATGAATGAAGATAAAATGGAGAGTCACCATATAAGATGGAACAAATGGGAGGAATTTAAAAAGTCAAAGTTAATTATAGAATTTATGGGGGATTAACAT